AAGGAAAAGACTAATGGTACGGTAGTTAAACGAGTCAGATTGCTCTCAAGAAATTTTAAAACTATGGATAACAGATGCCGCTATCCAATATGCCGGAAAGACTCTGATAAGCGCTTGTTAAATATTTTTGCAATTATAAATGACAGCTCCTGCAAGACTACAACAGTTATGCTGTCTGGACTACAAACTGTAGAAGAGTTTATGCAGGATATCACTTTTAATACTGAAGCTAGAGTGATACGAATGTCAAGCATTGGTTCAACCGTTTTGGAAGGTTATATCAGGCAAAAATCAACTAGTGGAATCAAGAAAAGATACTGTTGAAAAGATCTTAGCAAACAGTTCAGCATTGTCTTAAGGTGAGGTGACAAACTCTAAACTGTACAAGAGAGTTGAAAAAACAAATTTGTTTTTATTATTGATACTCTTAAAGATTTTTTAGAAGTCACAAAAGTTTATTTTACGTGATGAAATACGAGACCTTTTGTTTTAGACAAAATGTTTTTATGATGATTTCCGCAATTATAAACAGACGTATATTTTCTAGAAAATTGTTATGCTGATAGAAAATTGTTATGCTGATAGAAAATTGTTATGCTGATACGGAATAAACAGTTTCAATTGGAAAATACAGCAGCAAATGCGAGAAAAGCAATTATTGAAGAGTGAGGCTTGACCTGGTATTTTCAAGAGGGAAAAAAAGAGTCCACGCTAGCCTGCATCCAAAAAGTTATGCAAGAAGCACATTTGTCAGCAGGAAGACGAAAGGTTACTACTCAAGGACCTTTATAAAGAAAATCACGGAAAGAATCCCCGTCAGCTTTAAGGTAGTTGTATGAGGTACGGTAGTAGGGAAGTCTGATAAAGAAAAAAGAAAAAATAGGTTTAAAAAGATCAAACTGTGATCAGAGGCACCTAAAGGGTAAATGCGAAGGAACTAATTACTGACAAAGATTAGAAACAAGTCATAAGTCGAGTAGAGAAGGTTATTGGTTTAATTAATTTCCATATTATTTCTTGATTTCCATATAATTATGGAATTGTTAAAGACAATTACAGATTATTAGTTGCAATATACATACATACATTTTTTAATGATACACGTTTATTGGACTTCTAGTACTCACGTCTACCTTATGTTACACTAATTTAAAAGACTTTCAACTATTTTTATACTGATAGCTCTTACTATCGAGACATGCTACTACACTGGTCACACACGAGTACACCACATTGACTGTTTACATTACACACTTAGTTATCAGAACTTGAAACAGTTCACAACTCTCATTGACCCAACTTATACTGTGACAAACCACTGCAGAAAAAGACGCACATGTCAAAAAATTACTAACTATTGCTTGCAAGTTGTACTGAAACTAAGTGTCCTCTGGTCTCAGTGTCAGTTCCGAAGTCTGTATCAATCGTTCTGACTGGATACTCTGAGAATATTCCTTATGGGATAACAAAATGGGGTACCTTAAAAAGATACCCTGGTGTAGACTCAGTGTGGAACTTTTTTTCGGATGCTAGTCTCGGATGAAAGCTAGAGGTCTTCATGTGTTCATACTGCACCATGAGGCACAAGTCCATACTAAAATCCAGACACTCGTGACACTTATATCTATAATGTATGTTTATCAACCTAACAATGAACAATCCACATGTTGACTACTAATAAAACAAATAATTCTACTCCATTACCAATTCAATCTAAACATCACATTTACGCTGGACTCTAACAACAACTTAGTGGCACAACAACTAATGACTTTCCTTGACTATTGTTAAGTATTCTTATTTATTTTTTACTACATTTTACTAATATCAGTTTTTACTATTTTTCTACTTCAAGGTGGTAGACATCTGTTAAAAATCAAAAAAATTATTTTTTCAATTATAATTTTTTTAAATGACATAGCTCTCGTAAATTACAAATTTAAAGTTAGTTTAATGAAAAAAAAAAAGCTTACACCATTAAAAACTATTTTTTAATAAAGCGGTATTAGTAAACTTTTTCATTTGTCCATAGCAACGCTTTGTTTATTCTAATGCTATACAACTAAAAAGGAAATTGTATCATAACTATAGTATAAATTTTAAATATAAAATACCAGATGTGGTGATTGCAACTCTAAAACTACTTTTTGTTTATTAATTAATACTTTTGCTGCATTTGGCTACATTGAAATTTTTAACTATAATTGTTGTTTTCTGTATCACTCTACATTTATCCTATCATTTCGATTAAATATATTAGTAATTGAAAGTAATGGAAAAAATAAAAAATAAAATAAATAAATAAAAGAAGGCATAGTAAAATACTTATTTAAACTTTTTTCAGCTGCATTGTTTGTTGATTGATTTTAAATCATTCAAAAAACAATGCAGCTGAAGAAATTATAACTAATTTGCATGAGCTAAAACTTAAATTTAGCGTAGCAAAAAAAAATTTGAATGGACATGTGTGCATCCAGTAAATAATCTGTAAAACTTTTAAATAAAAATTTTGTAAAAAAAAAAAAAAAGTTCTGCTAATTACAATATATATATATATATATATATATATATATATAATCATATATATATATATATATATATATATATATATATATATATATATATATATATATATATATATATATATATATATATATATATATATATATATATATATATATATATATATCATATATATATATATATATATATATATATATATATATATATATATATATATATATATATATATATATATATATATATATATATAGAGAGAGAGAGAGAGAGAGAGAGAGAGAGAGAGAGAGATTATATATATATATATATATATATATATATATATATATATATATATATATATATATATATATATATATATATATGAAAACGTATGAAGAACTATGTTATCAGTTTACATTAAAACTTTTATTTTTGTTAAAACATTAAAATCAGCTCAGTGGAGAAATATCTTTTTAGCTCGTAAATATTTATTAAATAAATATTTATATTAATTCATAAAAATTCGTAAAAAGGTTACCAATTTGTAAAAAGGTTACTAATTCATACGGACCACTTTTCCACCATAAAAACACGTGTCGCAAAAACGTGAATTATACGTTCAATATTTGTTTCTGTGCTCACTGAGTTGATTTCAGTTTTACATTTTTTTTTCTTGAAATGAAAGTTTTATATATATTTTTTTTAAATCAAGTTTTTTTTAACCGATTTTTAGCTTGTGAACCTATAAAGAGCTTTTACCTTGCCTTAGCCGGAATCCAATGGTTCATAGGCTAGACATTGCATAGGCAGGTTAAAAGTTTAACATACAAACACAATATTAAAATTGTATGAGTTTAAAAATTGGCGAGATATCAGTGAGTTATTTATATCCCGGTAAGCCGGGATGATTTTTATCCATATGCATAGTTCCGAATCACGTTTTTCTTTTTCAATTCTGTTGCAAAAAATTTCACTATTATAAAAAACCTTTTTGTAAACGTTTAGATTATTGGAATAATCTTTACTCAAACCGACATTAAAATAAATTAATTTTATTAATTTTTAATAATAATATAAAATGTTATTTCTTTAAATTATTTTCGTAATATATAGTGACTAAAATAAATAACTTTATGCTATGGTCCAAAAATTTAAGCATTAGTGTGACGTAAGATCGACAATAAATTAAACATTTATTAAAAACTGACATTTCATTTGCCAAAATTTCTTTTTCGATTTTCTTGATCAATGCATGAAAACAAATTTTTATTTTTTTAACAGTTGTTTGGAATATGAAAGTATTAAATTATTCGACAGTTCCAGAAAAGCAACAATTCAGACAAAATTAAAATCCTTTTTGGAAAAGTTATTTTAATAATTAATAAATCAAATATAAAGACTTGGATGTCAAATATTTAACATTAGTTCTCCGTTAATATTAAAATTTCTCGTTTACTTATAGACAAAAATGCAATTATTTGTCACTTCGCCAGTGAGAGCCAAATGTTTGCCTTTAATTTAGCGGCCGCGGCATACTGGGAAGCAAAAGCTTTGAAGGTGGCCTCCTAATGGTTTTACCTGAAACATATTTTCTGGAGAAGGCCACCATTCTTCATTTGCGTCGACTTTACAAACACTTTGCCTTGAATAAAATTTTAATTACGAACAAAATATGAGAGGTAAATAATAACGGAGGCAAAATAAAGAACATTCTCTCATTAAAAATTAGCAATTAAACGTTGAATTAAAAAACCGCAAAAAAGTTAAGACCTACTACTTTTTTATTACCACAAAATTCGCTCCTCTTTACGCATAAAACGGACAAAAATTGCTTTTTGCAGCTGATTGTGAACATGTAACGTATTTAATTCTTATTATATACCCTATAACAAACAAAAAAATTTTTTTTAGGTGTTTATTTAATTTCTTTAAAAATATAACGCGTTGTTAAACCAAAATGTTGCAATGCCTTTTCATATACTTTAAATGATAAATGACAATTTGACAACTCAAAAACATATTTCAATATTTATTCTAATGATGTGCTTAGACATATTCAATAGACATCAATTACAGTATTTAATCACATTTAATACTTAGTTATACTTAATAAAAAACCATTTGTATCAGAAAAATCATATCCGTTACTTTAACAATACCATTAAAAAAATTTTGCTAGGAAAACAGTTTCTATTACTAAAAGAACTTAAACACCGCGCATGCTATGATTTGCCTCTCATACTCTTAAAATTGAATCATTTGAATAAGGTATCCCATGCCTAAGAAACGCTGTGCATTTATGAATAACATATATCTCAGAGGGTTGACCATAAGCAGCACTAATTTAATACGTTCGTGCTTTTACGGGTTTAAAGTTACTAAACTGTTGGCTAAACAGTGTATATTGTTTAACAAAATATTTTACAGCAACTTTTTGAGTGACATATGTTTTTTAGTAATATTCTGGATAATATGTAAATAAATAAAAAAATCTGTACTTTGTAACATATTGGTTAATACATAGATATATTTGAGAACTGATGTCATCCCAGTATACTCCTTGACCGTAGTATTCTAAAAAAAAATTCATTTTTAATTAAACAATCTTTTATTTTCACGAGGGTTCCGTAAAGTACGAAAACAGGTATAGGAAAGGGAGTTACCCAAAAATTTACAAATACGTGCAAAAATGAAAGAAGGATGAGTGTCAAAGACAGTGAATTTGTACGGAGTTTGATTATCTTTTCTTTTGTACTTATCGAAAAAGCTAGATTTATCTTTTAAAACAATAATTTTGATTTATCTTTTAAAACATAAACATGGATCTTAAGAGTTTATAAAATTAATGTAATTTTATGTAACAGAGATATATCGATTTAACTACTAAATTGTTTGGTCCTAATGTTAAGTGATGGTCTATTTTGTAATAAAAAATGCGTACGTACGTAGAAAAAATGAAGGATGTGGTTAAATTGACATGATTGTGTAAGAAAAAAAGGGTCCTAAATATATAGTTTTACTGAATACGTACTTTATGAATGATCCCTTTTATAAAATTTGTTCTCTATTTTATTTAGGTTGACTAATTACTTGTGCATAAGTTAAAAAATCTTTTAAGTTTAAAAGTTACATGGTTCATAGTATTAAATTTAAGAAGATACCTGTTGCGTGATTTTGATCAATTGGCAATCTAAAGCTTTTACAGTTTTCTTTTAAACTATTTCTTATAACATGAAATGAATTCCATGATGATGCGGCACTATTTTCATAATATAATTTGAATGGAATCTCAATATGGAATGAGTCACCAAGGAAACACTTATAATTGTTAACTAGTACTGTAATGTTTTGACTGTTTCCGTTACTTTGTAGATTTGAAATCTAAAGTGTTAACGATATAAACTATATTTGTATATCAAAAGTAAAATATATATAAAATTTTAAAAGTTCAAATGTCAATACTCACAAAGTTTGATGTTTTTTTAATTTTAATTTTATAAAAGTTTGAAAGTTAAAGTTTCACAAAGTTATATTTTTATTTTACTCAGGAACCTTTCGTTTAAACAAAGCTTTATATCTTTTGATTATTAATAACTTTGATTTTTTTTTTATTTATTACTGTAATAAGTTGTATTTAGTAATTTCAAGATGATTCAAAATTACGTTTTTACACACTAAAGTACTTACTATTAATAATATTAAATTTTGTAGACTATTGTTTAAAGAATTATACTCTAATATTTTTTGTTTTATTGTTGAGTCGCACTTATAAAAAAAATTCACAAATTGCTTTTCGGTACAATAATTTAATAATTGGGTTTCCATTCCAATACAACTTGCTTGATAAATAATTCTATTTCAATAGGATTAAAATATTTTTAAAAACAGAAGTTTTTCCTTTCATTAAAACAAAATGTGTAGTTTTACAAACAACTTAAGTCTGTTTTTTAAATATCGCTTTCTCTCCTCGTTCTGTTTTTTCATTGAAAAAGGTAATTTATAACTATGTAAGTATGAGCAAAAATTTTTTTTTTTGTTAAAAAAAAAAATTAAGATTTGAAACAATTATTGAGATTAAAGAATTATTTCTTTAATAATAAAAGAAAAATGTGTCAAATTTTTTTCTAAAAAAACGCTCCTCATTCAATTCATTAAATAAAAAATAAATAACTTAAAAGTAATTATACTTTATATTTAAGATTGCTTGCACTAAACTTTACAGCATCTAATGGTGTAATCTCAGATTGTAGCGTTACAAAACGTGGTAGAAAATATTCCCAAACTACGTTATAAGCTAATTCTTCTATACTATTGTAGGTTACTTGAAAGCTGATATTAAGTACATTTCTAAAATATAAAACAAAATATAGTATGAACATTTAATGTATTTTTATACTATTGCTCAAAAGAAAGTTAGTTGTTAACTATTACTCAAAAGAATGTTACATTTAACATTCTTTGAGTAATAGTTTTGGTAAAGTCAAGAAATTGATATTAGAGTTATCAAGCAATTATATTTTATATTTTAAATTTATCTTATTATAAATGATCCTAATTATTTATACTTATGTCATGTTTTGATAGATTTTGTTTAGCTGTATATGATTATTTTTATACTGTATATATTAGTAGTACTTTCGTTATACTAAAAGTCCTACTCGTTTAACGAATAGAACTTATAACAAATAGTAATTTTCGAAATACTATTTGTTAAACTAATAGTATTTTTCGTATGAAAATAGTATTATATTCTCAAAAAACTTTATTGAAAATGTTTGTTAAAAATAAAAAAAATAAAAGCGTTTTTTAATAAAATTTTTAAAACAAGTCACTATGAGAGAAAAGAGTAATTTAATAAACACAATAAAACTGTAAAGAAAATTATTTAAAAAACTAAATTTTAAATTTAGAAATCAACTAAGCAAATTACAAAAAAATTTTGAAAAACATATAAGTCATAATCTTAATATAATTCTTCCAGTAAACGTTTAACGTTGAATGCAAATGGTTACGCCTTTTGTTCAATCTTAGTTATAGTTCTGTATTCTGTAAAATATTCGCTAATAGTTTCCAAAAATTTACAAGGCAAGCAATGAACACGGTGTCAGCTTTTATATTTAAAAATAAAAGTTTAATTTTAATAATTAGATTAACTTGTGTTTACTTTTGAATTAGATTTTTTGTTTGTTTATGCTCTAACCATTATCCATTTTGTTTAATTTGTTTTATTTATTTTCTTTTTTGCTTTGCTTTCACTAATACTTTTTTTAGCTTTTTATAAATATTTAATATAATAAAACTTTTTATTGAATAAATTAAATTTGTTCATAAATATAATATATAAATTTGATTTTGTATTTTTTTTTTATTTGTATTAAGATATTTGCAGTAATCATTTGCATACATTTTTATTTATGTTTAAAATTGTTTAGTAATTTAGATACTTTAGAATTATTCATCTAGATACTATAAGCAGTATGCATTTCCTTACATTTCTATTTATTTACATTTAGATTTAAATAAAACTTATGTTTCCCGATTTGTGATTCAGTCGTTGAACCAAAGAAATTGTAGAGGTTTATATATCACACACAAAAACCTAACCACCAAAGCAAGAGTTTCGGCGAAAAAAAACGCACTGCAAAAGAGAGAGTGGATCGCCATGTCTGACTCCTTTTTCCGAAAGATAAAAGACCGGCAAAAACCGCAATTCAAAACAGATGCCAAAACTTCTGAATATAAAGAGTTCAGATGCCGAAACTTCTGAACATAAGGTGTAAATACGCCATTTTAAAATATCATAAAATATTTATACGAGATTTTAAAAAATAGTGCTACACTTTCTTTTAACTAAGTAAATGCGTTTTCAATTTTAAATTTTAAAACAATGATCAACAAAACAATAGATTTTGAACCAATGCGCTTTAATGTTTTCGACACTGCGAATAATATACTCATGACGCTGGTATGCATATTTTTCAAATGAATAATTTTGATTCTCGATATGTTAAAACTGAAACTTTTTAAACTGAGCTTAAAATTATTAAAAAAATTTTTACAGTAATTCGCATAAATATAAGAAGCATAAATAAAAATTTTGACAAACTTAAGCACTTCCTAATTGATTGTAATTAAATATTCAGTACGATTTGTCTAAAAGAAACTTGGTGTTCTGACAAATCAATCCAAAATAACATTAACTTTCGAATTCCCAATTATAAATTAATATCTTCTGAAAGAAAAATATGTAAAATAGGAGGAAGGATTGCAACTTATGTCCGGAATGATCAAGTAATAAAAGTAAGAAAAGACCACTATATTTCTAATGGCGATAGTGAGGTCTTTACAATAGAAATTATAAACTCCAAGTTTAAAAATATTATTGTTTCTACCTGTTATAGACCACCTGAAGGTAATATTAAATTTCTTTCTAATTGTCTAGAAGAAATTTTTCTCAAAATCAACAAAGAACAAAATAAATTATTCTGTATTGGGGACATCAACTTAGATTGTTTAAAATACAATGAGTTTCCGATTACTAAATTATTTTTTGATAACATGTTTCAACATTGTATTTTACCAATTATAATTAAACCCACATGGGTCACCTTAAATTCTTTTTCTGCCATAGGTAACATACTAACAAACTCATTTCTAGATAACTCCTTATAAGCCGGAATAGTAAAAAATAATATAACAGATCATTTTCAAATTTACTTTACAACAACAAATGATACAAGAGTAAATAATAAGTTGAAAAGAATAACTTATAAAAGAAAAATAAATAAATTTTCTATTCAAAATTTTAAAGACACACTATCGGCAGTAGATTAATTTACAGTGTATCAAGAATGTAACCTTGGGAACACAAATTCTGCATATAATACTTCTACAGATATTTTTCTAAAGCACTATAATAATCATTTTCCAATCAAAGAAAAAGAAATCAAAGTAAAATATTTGGGATGTCCATGGATCACCAGCTGTATAAAAAAATCATCAAAAACAAAACAAATACTATACGTTAAATATTTGAAAAACAGAAATGAGATTAACCTATGTAGTTATAAACAATACAAAAATCTTTTCAAAAAAATGAAAAGACATTCTAAAAAAATTTACTACTCTAAATTACTTTAAAAAACAAACGGAGACATGAATAAAAAAATAGTTTACCAGATAAAATCATTATAAATTAATCCGAACACGATGATAAAAACTCAATTACCAAACACTTCAACAATTTCTTTGCAAACAAAGGCCCAAACATGGCGTCTAAAATTTTAACTACAAATGACTCCTTTGAAAATTATCTTAAGAGATTTAATAGCGAACTAATTTTCAATGGATTAAGCTATGAAGAACTCGAAAATGCAAAAAACTCTTCAATAACTAACAAAGCACAAGGAATTAATGAGATTTGTAGCAATGTAGTAATAAATATCTTTCCGATAATAAAAAAACCCTCTTTGAAATATTTAAATCTTCAAGTTTAACAGAAACCGCTCCAGAGAAATAAAAAATTGCAAAAATTGTACCTATATATAAAACTAGAGAACAATATTAACTAAACAAGTGTAGACCAATCTCAATCCTTGCTGTATTCTCAAAATTTCTCAAACGAATAATTTATAATAAACTGTAAATATATTTAACAAACAATAACATCATCAAGAGAAAACAGTTTGGATTTCAAAAACAACATGTAATCAAACATGGAATCATATATCTTGTAAATAGTATCAAATACTCATTTGATAATAATGAATTTGTTCTATGAATCTTTATAAATCTATCAAAAGCATCTGATACTGTTGATCATGAAATCCTGCTCAAAAAAATGGAAAAATATGGCGTAAAAAATGTTGCATTACTCTTAAATAAAGGTTGATTGACAACGTTGTGTTTTCAATAGTATTAAAGTATAACGGTTGATGACTCAAAATTAAAAAAAATGTAAACCAGAGGCGCAACCTGAGTCCCTTTGGAGGTGGGGTCCGTTTGTAAGAAAATTTTATTAACTTATGCAAAATGTTATTGAGACAAACATTTATGGCAAGTTAAATTTAACTCACTTCATACAGAAAGTACAACAGAAAAACAACTAAATACATATTGGATGTAACATACTTGATGTAACATACTTGATATAACATACTTGATGTAACATACTTGATGTAACATACTTGAAAATACAGTAAAATACTTGAAATACAGCATTAGATGTTTTGATATGTAATGTGTAGTTTTTAAGATATTTTAACAACCCAACTTTTTTAAGATATTTTAACAGCTCAACTAGCCCCGCTTTATTCAAAAATACTTTTGTAAAATGAAAATGGTATAACATTTTCATCAAACAAATCTACATAGAAATACGATCATGAAAGGCTGGGATTTTAAAACTAAAGTATTTTATTTCTTTTATCTCAAAACATAAGATTCTAAATTTTTTTTTATAACAATTCAGAAAAGATGAGTGGATAAAAATCTCTTTAAAATTCTACATTATATTACAAAATATTTTTTTTTTGTTTAATCTTATACGACCTGCTAAAACTGAACCTATTTCATATTTAATATATTTTACAATCAAATACAATCAATGCTTCAAAATTAAATGAAACCGTAACTATTTTAAATTTTCAAAGTGAAAATGTACACAAAGTTTAAAATAAAACCTTGTAAAGATATTGTTTTTCTAGACTGCAGTTGACCATAGATTTTAAATCAAAAATAAGAAATGCAATATGACCTTGAGTTTTTTGTATTTGTTATTACTATCATTTCCGTAATATATATATCAATAATAATTGAAATAATTATTTTTTCCTAATTGCGTACTTTTCTCTATTACAATTCGATTTGGTTAAGGTAAGGTTTGAAAAACTTGAAGAGAGCTTTAGACCCTGGACTCCTTCCTTGGTGCGCTTCTGTAAACAAAAACATTTAAACTAATACCTACAGAAAATATGTTCACATAAAATGATTTATTGAAAAAACTTCCAACAAAAATTTTATTTTTACTTTTACATAAAGCTGTAGCTATAATCGGACAGTACACCTTTACAAGTAGTGGTCAGTATATACATAACAATAACTTAACAGAATATACAAAAAATGAAATATTTTTTTCTATTAGTAGTACCCAATGTGAGTTTCGTTTTTTTAAATATGTTTAAATTTTAAGGAATTATTTGCTAGTTTTAAACGAAGATAATGTTTTTTTCAAAAGTTACCACTGATAGATTTAAAGTGTTAAATGTGCTTGTCATTTGTAAACAAAATAGACTCTCCGTATATTTAGAATTTTTTTATTAGATTTTAAAACTATATTAATTAAATAA